TTGGTGTATGGTAAACCCGGGTTGCGTGATGAAGTCGTGGGGTTCCATGACTTCAAAGTAATAATAATTCCAGAGATGTTGACATAAAAAAATTGAACGAGAACTTCGACAACAAAATGGGAGATCAACAGATCCATTTGTTTTACCGGGAGATTTGCTTGGATTGGAATGGTGAACGATTTACGGTTGATGGTTGGGAATAGCTTGATTTATTGCCGTTTTACCTGGCAGTAATCGTCAGGGGCATTTCATAGATCGTATATCGTCACCGAACATTACTGATCTACGGGGCCTTCGGAGGTCTTGCGGATGATGTGTGTGTGATGGAACGCCGCGTGGGGGTCGTCTTGCTTCCCGCACGTCTATCACTCGAAACAAGAAGGTCTTGAGTTAACCTCCTTTCTCTTTCGACCTCTGACGAAGCTGCCGCACAACTCAAAGATTGGCACCGAAGCGACCTTAGACGATATCTTCCGCCGAACCCGCAGCGACGCTAGCGACGAATCCAAAATTGGAAGGCCAGCACCACATTGTTTCAGGAGATCACACCCGGAATGTCCATGAGGTATGATGTTGAGGATAAAACATACACGAGATGTAGACTACAATAGTTTAGCAACGATTACGGTCGAAAGAGGTAATGGAACCATCATTCTGCCGTTCTTCGGTAACCAACGACACGAGATATCGGCGTTCTACCCCAGTTCAGAGTATCAACATGAAAGTTGAAAATCGCCGGAAAGTACCTTGTCCAGACCCCACGAAAGACCGTAGTGAATGGGGAAATAAATTATTGTAGCTCGAATCTCTTGGAGGTTGCGCGAGTATCACAATAGCTTAACTTCGTTCACTCTTATACTAGACAGGATATCGTTTTCCCACTCACACTTCACGATTGTGTCACTCCAGCGAGAGATTGTCACTCGCACAATGCTGCCAATGAACACAACTTTGCTATTGTAGTCGCACCTACGACATGCACAAGCGTTGAGCCATACGCACATCGAACGAAAACTGGTGAAAGGAAGAGCGAGGATAATATGCAGCAAACCTTTCTTATACAACGAAATACGGACGCATTCACATCAAATAGGGAAACATTCCCATTTTGAAAGAAGCATAGACACATGGAAGGGACACTAAAAACCCAACCAAGAATCGAGGCAAAATCGCGACACACTATTTACAACACCAAGGGCAACGGTCGTCAAATGTAACACAAGTGATCAGTTCTCACCCCACCAACTCTAGCCTGTAGGCGTTCAATCCCTCAGCACCGTGCTTGCCCTCTCGTGCATGGCATCCCAACAAGGAAGGTCGACATCCTGCCCTCTTGAAACTGCAGGCAAATCAGAAACGACCCCAGTACCATCTGGGACACGGACGCGCACGTCCCGCCACCACCAAAACACGACAAGCAAGCATGGTACTCTTCATGTCTCACGGGCTCCTTAGTTCCTCGATGTGCCCCCCGTCCCCGCAATATTGTAGAACCAATCCTTCACGTCCATCATCAACACCGCCACCAATTGGCATATTCCGCCACTGCTCATCTCGATCATCTCGTGATCGCTGGCGCTCCTGTCGCACCCTCTTGCTCCCACCTCCTCCATCTCTTTTCTTCGTGCGCCACCGCCCACCGTCATCCTTCGCCCCCAATAACCCGCTTCTCGAACGCTCACTCTTCTCGAACACCTCGTGCCAAAAGCCTCGACCCAACTTGTCGCGTCCCGCTCCCGTCTTCCCGGTTCCATAGGCACTTTTCCCCCGGTCAGTTCGTGCCGCGTCATTAGCGTTGTTTCCGATGGTCTTGTTCTGGCTTCTGCTTCTGCTGGCACTGCTGCTGTTGCGTCTGCCTCCTGGTTTGCTGGAGGACGGTGGGGTTAACGCTTCCGCGAGCTTGTCGAGACCTGACGTCATTGCCTCTCCCGCCCTCGACGTCAGTCCGTGCGCCTCGTCGTACTATGTTGTCGTGGCGCAAAGTGAAAAACAAGGGAAGGAGAAGCAATCGCACGATTTCTCGGATGGAGAAGCAAGCGCACGATTTTTCGGATGTGTAAGGTGTGCGAAATCACCAACTCCAAGTCAGAAAAAACAATGAACGTCAAGGGTGAGATGGCTTCCGGATCATGAACGCCGGCGCATGTCGCAGTGGGAGCCTACGGCCACATGCTCCGTCGCCCTGGTATGGTACATGCTCAGCATCAAACATTTGCCAACAATCGTGCAAACGGGTCAAGAGAGTAGAAGAGTGAGGTAGATGGACACGAAATGCAAGATGTGTTGATGTGGAAGACATACAATGTGGTACAGCATGGGACCGTCACCTGCTTGAAGTCGCGCCAAGCCTTTTTCGCGCCCTCCGTCGCCCGGTGCACGATCGCGTGTTCTTGGTCGAACTGCTTGAGCCTCCACCCAGTAATTTTCGCACCGTTTACCAACTGCGATGGTTGCGGGGTACCACAACAAGAGGCATTCGAATACCGACTTCAGCTACACCGTTGCAAGGTCAACCAGATGATCGTCTTGTAGGTGTGAGGTATCGGAAGTGAGCCACGGCTTGCTGAGTCAGAGGAAAATTTCCCGCGCAACTTCGTACACCGCGGCCCGATCCAACAAGTAGATGCTTTACCGTGAAGTACTTCGCGGGGAAGTATGCAGAACATAGTCGTACATTCTTCGGGACGAACAGTCAGACCTTGTTGGTACCAGCGCCATGCGCCGACGTCGCACATACGTGCTCGCGCTTGTTCGCGTCAGTGGACCAATCTCGAGACGCCACGGCCATTCTTCCCCCCCCCCGAAAAGTTTACTCACGTTCAAACCGCACAGCCTGCGCTATTGTCCTGTTGGCAACTTAGTCGGACGTACACCTGAAAAACACCAAGCCCAGCCAGTGCGATCAAGAACATCATGAGGTGCCTACCCGCTCAGTGACATGGTAACGTTCGTTCAAGTCTGCGCCCCTGTCGAAGGCCGCGACCGCCATCCTCCCAGACGACCTTGCGATGTCCCCCGCCTGATTCCAGTCGATTCAATCGAGTCAAGCGTACACAGGCAACGCTGCTCTCAGACCTGAGTATTGCGTCGTGTCTGTTGTTCGGTGCGAGACCATTGACTAAATCAGCAAACACTTCGACTCCAGCAAGTCGGCAGCGCACGACGTGAATTCTGTCGGAAAACTTGCAAACGGCAACCGATGACGTGAAACCCACTTCCCACGAGCGCTCCAGCTTCTTGTATCTCACCTAGCCCCTCACGCTCTTTTCCAAGTTCCCGACAGCAAGTTCATACGTCAACGAAATATCAATCAATAATCGGGACCTAAGCGACCCAATTCGCTGCAGCTGGAATGCACCTGGCAAGAACGTGTCGTCGTTTCTAACTGCCACCACGAGTTCATTCCAAACACTCTAAGAGAGGCTTGAATGCCGCAGGAAAAACAGCCGGTTCAAAACGCATCGGCGGGGGCGCTCTTACCCCATCGGCCGAGCTAGCCGCTATGGTCATCGCTGTCACACCAAGGCCCGCCGAGATCAACAGGGACTGGAAAACGAGTTGGCCTGCCCACATTCCAAGGAGCGCAACAGGACGGACGCGTGTCGTCAAAAGGTTCAACAATTGAAGCCAGAATCGCTGTTCGGCACAACAGATTATCGACGTGGACAGTCTATCTACGTACCACCAATGCTCGTGGCACTAATTTCATTATTGGACTATCGGCGTCGACAAATCGTTCCTGTGGCACAGTGATCACAACTCAAGCACTCGGAGGTGTGTCATGTAGCAACTACGTGTGCACAACGAGATCACCGGCCCATCACATTAAGGGCATTTGCAACTTGAGTTGTTCAATCTGATAGGTTCCGGCGTTATCCCGTGTCCATCTAGTTAGTCACTCGCAGACGCGGTCACCACGGAGGCTTTAACAGGCGAGATTTCAGTGAGGTCGTACCTGCTAACACCCCCATGGCGCCTGCCCCGACAACTTCTCTAATCGGCGGGGGATTATCATCGTCGCCTAAGCCGCGGCCACCATTAGCACGCGTTTTCGATGGCGGTGATCCTGACGGCCCTCCCCCTCGAAACGGAAGCACACGTTCAGCTTGCGGGAAGTGAACAAGACTCGCCAGCAACGCTGACAATAAAGCAAGGGTAGGCCGCATTCCCGTGGGGGGGGGGCGAATCTATCCCTCCACGTTGTGTGTGCGATATTGAGGACGCCCGCGTATCGTCTCGAGAACGCCTGTTCGGTTTGCAGCAACGCAACGTACAATCACACTGTTTGAGCGTTGTTTGAGTCAGCGAGGCGGGAGCAGCAAAGAACGGATTATCACAAATGGCCACTTGGGGTATCTCCGACGAATCAAGGAGCACTACATGTAGGTCGGGTGCCACGTACCAAACTTGAACACCGAGAGCAGACACATCTTGTCCGCGAGTGACTGAGTTTAATTTGAGGCTAAAGTGTCCACAGCAAAGAAACGGATTTCGGTGTGTGGGGCTGCTGGCGCATCAGCCGTACATACACGTGGCTGTTTCTCATGAAAATCCAAGTCCTAGTACAATTGACGAGAGACACTACAGGGGCAGCGGCAAATCAAGCACTTCGGGAAATATGAATCAATACCAATCGTTTGGACAGGGCCATGGATGATGGAAACCTGCAGCGTTTCTCAGCAAACCTGCATGCCGTATAGCATCAAACGACTGCTGCACACAAGGTACATGGTCATTCGGTCATTTCCTCGTCATCTCCGGAGATTTGTTTCCTGTGCAGATACCAATTCTGCCACAAGGCGTGTAATGTAGTCTGGGCTAATCGAAGCTTTGTTTCTGCGCTAATCCAAGGTTGCCTCGAATTAGACTTCATCAAGTTGTTGCGCATCACCCCTATTCCAACAACCCGGAAGGACCAGCAAGGCGGCGTCAACCCAAGTTCAACTTGCGCCGCAACACTCGAGCGGGGGATACAAAGGGATGCTGCAACTCACGAGAGGGATCATACACACGCCGAAAGTGGGGAGGTATTTCGAAAATAGAAACGTTCAAACAGCAGTTAACGATAGTGCCCGAGGGCGAAGCCGTGCCGGCCATAGTTGCGCCCGAGGTGCCACTATTGTACTGCATGTCGTCGCAGCGTGGGAACAAAACGCGGCGCAATTTCTTCCTGTGTTCTTAGCTCTGTTATGCAGATCACTGCTTCCATTGTGGATCTCTACATTAATACAGTAATGACGTAGCTACTCACACCTGAGGCACCTGCGTCCTCAAGAGAGCGCCTGACCAACTGGTACTGATGCGCAGCTGCAGAGAGCTTAAGAGCGGGTGATGATGTGGAATGCCAAAACGTATGCATGTACCCTACCCCCCCACACCATTCGATATTTGAATTGTCCGCGGAACCCCCACGGGCGGCTTGGGCCGTGCTAGGCCGGCCTCGCGTTGCTTGTTGCTCAGCTAAGACTGCCTCATCACTCCACGCGGCTCACGTGCGTCTTGCTCTACTCTCTATCGAAGGTGACTGTGCATGCCAGTAGCCCGTTCCCCTAGCCTTGGGTACTTTCACTGAGTGACAAGCGACTGACTAATATTTCTCAAACTTTCAAACCAACGGCCCACTCCTCGGGTCTGTTTGACACAGGACACAAAATCCTCCTCGTAAGCACCTTCCTGCTAAACTGGCTCTTGTAGCCCCCCCTCAACGTGAAACGGTATTGCTTGGCAATTGCAACTTGCTCCCGTCGACCGCAGGGAGCTTGGAAGGTGACAATGATCTGCCCTATAGGCAGGACCGGCAGCCTTTAGTAGTACCACAATGCCCCGCAGGTGCCGGAGTTGTCTCGCCGGCCGGCCTCTGGCAGCCCGAGAACACCCAGGTTCTACCTGGGCAAGCGTGAGCGTCAGCCAGCTCGCCCATTCACGCTCGAGCTGTTGCTGCAACAAGCGTTTTGATGTGGAAATCGCCAGATAAGGCTCGAACAAGGGGCAAAAATCGTGCTCAAGTGTACCTTACGAGTACCACGAACCCTGTTCATGTCGCGCGGTGAGCCAAGATCTTGTCCTGTTCATGGCGCACATTCGGGCTGTGGCTTGACTTGACGGAAAACGAACTTTGATGATGACAATTTTTTGAAAACAAACGCAAGAGCACCAGAAATGGCACACGAGAGACCCGAAGAGACCAGTCGGAAGGCATTGCCAAAAACAGAAAAACTCGTTGATTCCAGCACAGGGCGGCAGCAGTCTTCTTCTCAGCACATACATTTCACGCGTCTTCCTCAACAAGCCCACTTTGAAATCAAGATAAACTTGACACCATTCTAAATTCAAGTTAAAGGAGCCATAACGGCCGGCGCTCAAATATGCTCTGTGATGCCAGGAACCTGGAGCATAGTACTTACATCACAAGAGGACACCCACTACAGGATATCCCATGGCAGCGGGGGGGGGGAGAGGGGGCGGGCGTTCTCTTATGTTTTGCATGCCTTAGCGGTTAGACCATTGACCACGCGTCCTCGAGGGGACGGAGCGTTGTTCCCAAAGGACCGATCACCGATGGCCAATCGTTCCTTTCTACTTTGCCAAAGGTGGCTCAAAAATGTCTTCCCTAGTCTGTCTATCCTAACGATATCCCTTCCCGCCTTTTCAACCCACCTCCTATGCCCCAGTACAGCTACCGTCCTTTCCTCTCTATTCCATGCCTCAAACATCTCCCTGTACGTTCCATCTATTTTTCCCAGCTCAGTCACGTACACTTCCCTCTCCTTCTTATACAACGGACATTCCGGGACTACATGAACACGGTCTCCGCGTTCGAAGCCGCAACCACATTTGAACTCGTCGTCTTCGTCTNAACCCACCTCCTATGCCCCAGTACAGCTACCGTCCTTTCCTCTCTAGTCCTTGCCTCAAACATCTCCCTGTACGCCCCATCTGTTTTTCCCAGCTCAGTCACGTACACTTCCCTCTCCTTCTTGTACAACGGACATTCCGCGACTACATGAACACGGTCTTCGCATTCGAAGCCGCAATCACATTTGAACTCGTCGTCTTCCTCGTCTACCGTTCTATGTCTTCGTCGACGTTCTCGAAGGCCTATGTCCCCGGTCCTGAATTTGACCTTAAGCTTTGTTCCTGCATCCATTGGTCCATGTAGGTAGTCCTTGAACCCTATTCCTTCCTTCAACATTCCGTACACTTCTAGACCCTCCTTATCCTTGGATTCTTTCCTCAGATTCTGTTCTTCTCTCTCGGCACAAGCAACAGATATCTTCTCCTTGAACCCCTGTAGACCCTCCGTTTCCAGCGTTTCATCTTCGTCGATGTCGAGCCCCTTCCATACGTCCTCTACAACCTTGACCCATTCCGTGGGTTGTCTACCCCTCTTTTTGTTTGCCCACTTCGCCTCCCATACAATTCTCGGCAACCTCTCCTCTCCCATCCCGCACATGCGATACTGCCATGACAGCTTCTTCGCGTCACTTCCCGACCGTAGGGATTGGATCCCCAATTCTGCCCTCACGGCTGCATTACTTGTGCGCCTGGAGCATCCTAGGATGGTTTTCGCTGCTTTCATCTGCGCCGCCTCGAGTTCTTTCACTACCTTCTTATTTCCTTCCCATACTTCTCCGGCGTACTCTAGCGGCGGTACGATTACGCTCTTCAAAACCGTCAATTTGATGCGTGTATCGAGGTGCCGGTTTGCGAGTATTGGATGCAGCTTCCCTGCTCGTGCTTTGCCCTTTTCCGCTACCTTGGACATGTGTGCATTCCACGAGCAGTCTTTTGCGATCTCTACTCCAAGGTATGTGTACTGGTCCACTACTGCAATCTCCTCGATCCCCCACTTCCATCTATGTTCTACTGGTTCCTCCTTGTTCTCGTTGCATACCATGACGGCACTCTTCTGAACGTTGGCAGACAATCTCCACTTATCAGTAAACTTCTTCGCCGCGTCAATTTGCAGTTGCAGTCCCTCAGGGGTGTCCGACATACCGACAAAATCATCCGCAAACAGCATTCCTGAAACCGACGTTTCCGTGTCCCCTACTTTTACTCCCTTCCGGACTGCCTCTACGACTTCCAACAGATCGTTGATGAACACCTGGAACAATGTTGGGGACAGCGTGCAACCTTGTGGGACCCCCTGCTCAATGTCGAAGAATTTTGACAGTTCTCCGTCTAGCATGACCGCGCTTTTCGTGCACTCTGTCATCTTCTTCAGCACTCTCCACATTTTCCCCTTGATCCCGTATTTGGACAGTTGTTTCCACAACCCATTTCTCCACACGGTGTCGTATGCCTTTTTCACGTCCAGGAAGAAGCAGTACGTCGGCTTTCCCGCCCTCTTTCTACCTTGGATGATTCTCCCTACCGTGAATGCGTGGTCTGCATACCCCCTCTTGTTTCGGAAACCTGCCTGGCCCTCACTAATGCTTTGTTCCTTCTCCAATAA